TCTCGCGCTTGCTTTCGTCCCGACTTGTTAGGTCGTCAAATGTAATGGCTCTTATTATTATTATTATTATGAGCCTTGAGCACTGCGACCTCTGGATGGTCTATTGTGCGTGGCCCTTTACCCTATACGTGAAGGCTTTTAATATAAGCTAGCACTTCGGTGGGCTTTTTGTTCCATATTTCGAATGGATTAAGTGCTGTACCACCTAGGTGAGCGAGTCTACGTCTAGCGAGAGCAATACATTCACAAAGGATGTGTTCTGGCGTTTCTTCGTCCATCTCACAGAAGCGACAAATGCTCGTGTCTGAAAGATTCATTTTACTGCGGTGATAACGCAGGGAATAATGTCCCGTGAAGTACCCAGTGAGAGTTCGAAGGTCCTCCCTGCCTAGATTTATGAGCTTTTTTGAAGCTTCTTGTGATGGATAGATGAACCGCTTAGCTTGTCTTTTCCCCGGACATTCACTCCAGTGCCTATCGGTTTTTTTGTCGACCCACTTGTTTATGACCTCCCTTAAGTGGGCTTTGTTGAGCCCGCAAATAATGACCACTTGGTCATTTCATTTTAAAGGGTTGGGCAAAAATTTGACCGTCGCCAAGAGTTGACTGGTTCCAGATGGCAGGTGCCTAAGTGCTCTAACCCGTTCTGGCGCTTGATTTCGAATTGCCCAGCCTCGTTATTTAGCTTCTTGATCCTCGGGACGTCCAAATTTATTCGTCTGGCCCTGTCACGCACGTCTATGACTACCGTCACTTCAGGGAGAAACCCCGCTCTAATTTCAGGGATTGTACTTGCCATTATGAAGAGGGCAACTGATGCGTTCATGACTTTGCTGAAATTATGCTCGGCATACCAGTCGACATTGCTGTTGCTATAGCACCCATGCGTGCATTTATAACTTCTCAAGCCTTCCCGTTTAGCTTATTTTGTGTTCGATGATGTCGCTGTGTGTGGTTTTTTGCTGGAATGACGGGCAAGTGGTCAGAGACCACATTGTGGTGGCATCTTTGTTTAAGATAGAGAAATTAGAGCCCTCTACCTGCGATGTGTGTCGCGTTGATCGTTACCCGACACGAGCCTGTTGTCACCGACTGGGAGTATACTTTTGTCGAGGCGATAACTTTAGGCCCAGCAGGTAAGTGGTGGGATGAAGACAATTAAAAGCTTCAATGTTGTTTCTTTGGGGCTAATGCCCGATTTTGCCACTAAATGAAGGTGTCTCTGGCGTTAACCTCAAGAGCGACGCTTCAGTATTGCACAGAGTGGTGAACGATGAATGCGATGCCTCCTCTTCTGCCATTGGACATGCACCACGTGTGGTGGCGTAGCATTGGGCGAAACAGCCCACCCCCCTCCAAAGGGCCGATGTATTTCCTGGAGCTGCCGTTGGACGATCAAAGCAGCGCCGTAGCGTAGTTATTCTCTTGGCCAAGCGTTCAGCACGGACATCGCTTCCTAATCTGAGTATTCGCACCAAAATATTTCATGCATCCGTGATTTTGGTGACGGTTACTTTTAGCATGTTTGTAAGGGTATCTGAAAAAGATCTTGTGAGTTGAGCTCTAATTTGACTAAGCTAATAATTGTTTAAATGCATCATCATGTTCGCAGTGGAAGTCCAACCTTCTAGAAATTCATTCATATACAAAATATACATGTACACATGTTTAAAGATACAATCCACATTCCTCCCTTTCAGGTACAAACCGTCTCCAAGTCAATGGACAATGCAGAAGGCGACCAGACATTACATGGTGATGGCTAAATATGAGTAGAACACGTGAGTTCCACATCCAATTGATGTCAGTATTGAGGCAACGTGACGATCAGTAAGCGGCAATTTTATTTACTACAAACTATTCCCTACAAGTTCATTTTGCAAGAATATCAGCACGAAAAAGTGTAAGTGTAGCATTCAAAATCACGTTGTCGCATTTAATAAAGCAAAGTTCACTTTTTTCCCGAATTTGCAGATTAGCGTAAACATTGCCGCTGACAGGCATTTAAA